GCCTGTAGTGTAGCATTTGTGAAACACCCTTTTCATTGAATACATTCAAACTGTGCACTGCTATTTGCAAGACTTCTGAAACCCCTCGGTTATACCTTGTTAGGTATTCACAGTAAATAGCACTGTGTTTTAATTGGCTTGGAGGAGGGCTGTGTTTGGATTTTTTTCTTGTCAGGAAGCAAATTTAATACAGATGTTCATTAGCAGCATGAAGCCAGAACGTGTTAAGGATGATGCCAGCCGTTTGTTGCAGGTTAAATTGAGGCAAAGGACATGGCAAAAATACAAAAGACTCCTTCATACCTGCAAAGAACTGCTGCTTCTCGCAAACCCTGAGTGGCACACAGTCTTTGCATGCAAGAACCTGTGATTTTACCACTCGTCACAACTCCAGCCTAAAATTTTTTATTGTTCAAGGCATGCTTGAGTTACAGTCACTTACGGTTTTGAACCAGCCAAGTAAAAATAATCATTGTAGGTTTCTGAAGTTGCTTTCTCCATGAGACTTTAATGATGGTTATTTGCTCTGCCCTTTTATTTTAGTAAGAGAAGTGTATGTAGATTTTCATGAACTTTCTTTCTTTATGCTGCACAGCTCTACAAAAACATAAAATCCTAACTTAAAGCAAAATAAATTAGATTTGGGAGATGAAAACTCCCTAAAAAGAAAAGAAAACAAAGACCCTAATCAGTGTATTGTGATCATAGAAGACATTCTAAAGAAATTTAATGCCACGTAATACATATTTAAAAGGCGGCTTTTTGCAGTTGTACATTTTTTCCTGCTTGTTTATGCATGGTAACAAGTAGCACTGAGACACAAAGTGCATTAGAGGCCACCACACAGCACAGCCAACTGTGGAAACAGCAAGTTAATTTAGCATCAGCTTCTTGTGGTTTTAGATGCAAATGGCAGATTCTAGTGGTACCATGCTGATGCAGCTAGCTCTCCTATATCCTTTCTCTTATTCCACTGAGATACCACTCTTGCAGCTGTGAGCTTGGTTGCTGCTCTGACACATTACTTGGTTATATGCACTTTTCTTCCTTTATGCTGAGAAAATAACTGTTGTTATAAGACCTGTCTCCTGTGACAAGCTTACCATTGGGATGTAAATGTAGCTTCTTCCATGAGTCAGGGAACTCTTTCGGTTCTACATTGTTAAGAGAGGACGAGCCATGGGCTAGCTCCACCAGAGGACACTGGTGAAACAATTCTGCAGTGGCTGACCCAGCCTCGGTCAATGAATTCGCAATCCAGGGTGAGTCACCAAAGTACCCCAGTCAACCTCAGGGAAAGAGTACATATATTGCACTTGGATCTGTGGACATGTTTCCTAATAAAGGGTGAGACTATGACGCACTCCAGGTTTGCATTTAATGTACTTGGCCACTAATAGTATTCAGTTCATGGGACCATGCTCACATTAATCTGACACAGCCCTTCCAATATGCACGTAGTGCAGATATCAAGTCCACAGCACCAAGTGCTTTCAACTGCGCATCTGTTCCCACTGGACCACAATAGTCGCTGATGTACACAAAAGCAGCAGCATGATAATCCAAGCTGTTCAGCTGCATTATCCTCCCTCTGAGATTCAGAAGCCCTGAGCTTCTTCCTACATGGTTGCCTTTACTCTTGAACCACTGGTACAGAGAGAGATGTTAAACAGCCACAGATCTTGTGTCATCTTTCTCCTAAACACGCCAGTAACCACTGGTAAAGCATAGGTGCACAGAAACTTTAGAAACCCCAAAAGGTGAGCAAGGATTTTGATTTATTTTTATTGATTTGTGGATCTTTTTCCAACTCAGTAGTCTCCTTTTCTCTCTAAACTGAACTTTCCCTTCTGTTGCTTAATACCACTGGTATGTGACAAGTTCTGGGAGATTTTGTACTCTCTCTAAAAGACAAGAGCATTCTGCTCACAGTACACAATATTTACAAAGGCAGTTCAAGCTGTTTCCAAAACTTTGATTGAACTGGGTGGAAGTTCATCCAGTGAACTATATTGTACTCTGCCTATGCAGAATTTTGCCTCTAAATGAGTAAAAGATCATGCTAGAAATTCATTTCAGTACATTCAGTGTTAGTGAGAGCCATAAAAGCCATGCTTTTAAAATTCTGATGACTTCCATCAAATCACTTACTGCTGCCAAATGCATAGAACATCTTAATTAAGGTTAAAAAAAAAGGACCATCATATGCAATCACGATCCTATTATTACAAGAGAAAACCATTATTCCGGTGACCCTACAGCCTTTAAAATTGTTTCTGCAGATAGATGGAAAAATACTTTATAATGAGTGACCTTTTGACAATAAAGGAAAACCTATCTGGATTTCAAAAACTCTGAAAGTTTTTAAAAAAATATTTAAGAGAATTTAAGACAGACATGTTACACATGCTGCTTTTTTAAGCAACGGGGTGGAACTGAATGAGTAGGCTGCAGTATCTCTCCAAGTTCATTTCAAGAGGCCTCGGCTTTTTTTGTTACATCTAGATTGCGGCCAGAACAGACTGTTAGGGGAAAGGTTTCACCCTGAAAATATAAAAGGACAATAAATCAAAGTATGCATCATCACTTATTAAATCAGAGCTCATCAGGCAAATTTTAGCCTTAGCTCTTAAAACTTTCCCTTAAGAGCCCCTCAATAAATATGTTGATGCAAGAGCACAGAAAACATGTATTTTATATTAGGATCTGAGATAAATCTTTATATTTATCCTTAACTAAAGCAGGAACTGCTTCAGTGTGTGTTAGCAGTGTCTCTTGAACTGTTCTGTAAGTCTGTGTTGTAAGAGGGAAGCAATGCAGTGAACTGAGCTCCTAACGGCACTCTTGTTCCCTCTTTCAACTCTAATTGTACGGTCCTTTGGCACAGGGGATATGGGCAGTAATAACGAAAATGAATGATGCCTGATGAACCCTCACATTTCAGCTGAGGCTAGATACAATTTCCTGGAGAAGTGCACCAACAGGGGTTGACTGGCTCAAGAACTTAGGAGTCCCCTGGCCTTCGACGGCCCTTCCCATGCTGTACAGATCAGCAGAGGCTGAAAGAACATCCTCATGGTCTCAGCTCGAAGCAGTGATTCATGGTTTCTAGAGGGCAGGCATACACATGAGGAAGCCTGGTCAGCAGTGGACATTCTTTGAGATGACACGGAGAAGAGGTAATTTGTAGACTCCCAACACTGTGGGATTTCCCCATTTTTAAAAACTTTTTTTAAGAAACATAATCTGCTTTGTCAAATGCCATTTCTCACCAATATAATTTACAGACATCTCAAAAAGCAGCAACCTTTACTTTTCCAACTTTTGCAGCAGATTATTATTTCTGGACAAAAAGCAGTGGAAATCTTGATAAAATATGTGACTCAGTTGACAATTGTTTTCTTTTTAAAAAAAAAGAAGAGGCAACTGAGGCTCTTGCATGATTCCAGAATAGTGGAAAATTCCCTTTCCTTCTGCTGATCTGAAGATAACTAGCCAAAAAAGGCTGGCTGCGTTTATTTCCTCTTTCATGGGATCTCTGCTCAGAACACAGTGTCAACCCCAAAATCTGAGATTCTGGAACTTTTCCCTTTGATTTAGCTGGTGTCTGATTCAGCTACACTTTGCAGTTTGCATGTGACATTGTGGTGGATTTACAAAGTTTATAGAAAATAGTGGAAGCTTTGAGTGATACTTTTTGACTTTCCTCAGTGCAGAGTTTCAGAAAATGTTTTGGGAAAATATTCAAAACCAGTAACATTTGTAAATCTTTTCCGGTTCACCTCTCTGCTATCCCTGGCTGACAAGCAAGAAAGTTTATTGGACTCTTCCTGTACTCAGCATCTCAGAAAGGCTAATCGGTTCTTCAGGATATGATTGAAAGCAGAGTTTAGAACTCTTAAGGCAGAATTTAATACTCTGCTATGCATTCAGTGTTACAGATTTCTTTTGTTCATCCCTGAGTAAAGAACTTACTGTGACAAATCATATTCCTGAGCATTTTTCCTTCAGTGTCTTTATTCCTTGTTTACAAAGTTGAAGGATTCCACCATACGGGTATAAGAATATTATCTCAGATAGCAAATTATTTTATACCATCCTATTTCCCCAAAAAATCTGAATTCTTACTCACACACTACCCAAACATTAACAGCAACTGCTTAACACTGATATCTGTCCATTATCACTGTACTCTGTTTCCTGAGGAAATGAGGTTATGCAGTTGAACTGCCTATACATCCATCTGCCTGTCTGACAGTTTCCCCAGGCCCCGCATAACAAGTTCTTGGCCAGTTGCAGTGCCATTTGACAGAAACACTTACAATAATAAATTAACAAGTTTCACGAAAATGAAAGTCAGGCAAAGGAGACAGACCCAAATTATTGTCAGTGCTGTGGGAAAGGCAGGCAGAGATGAGTCGGCCTCCACCTGGCAGCAGTTACATGGATGATGAGCCTGCATGTCCTCACCTGCCCATTGGCGTAGCGGGGTCCCTGCCTAACCTCTGCCCACGCTGTTCCTTACCCTTCATGGTGGGATAAGAGTATGTGCAGGGAAGAGAAGGTTTTATCACAAGGAAAAGGGCTTACAAACCTGCAGGAAGCTTAGGTCCTGAAGCTAGAGATTTCATCATGCAGCTCACAGGAAAAACTCTCTCTTATTTATGTGCCAGCTGTGCCTAAAAACCTCTTTTCTGCAGCAGAACCACAATTTTCTCAGCACTGTACAAATACAGAACACAAAGACAGCCTGTCCTCCTTCCTGCCAAAGTTTCAGTTGTTCTTATGGCAGTTTCTCTCTCCTGATATCGTGTAAAAAAAAAAAACAATAAAGACAACAAATTGTGCAATAAAGATAATACAGAGTGACAGGGAAAACACCAGTAAAAAATATCTAATGAAGCCAAACTGTTGCTGGTGTCAAATCTCAAGTATGGTTAGTGACTTTGGATATGTCACTAGATTTATTTTGTATCCTCGGGATATGTTGCTGACAATACCTTCAAGAGGGACTGTATTTCTCAGGCGTAGTTTCTCAGTGCTGTGAAATCTGTGTATGGGGCTTGTGCAGCTGCTGATCCAATGCGAATGGCAGAAATTATTGCTCCCTCAACCAGAAGTTCCCTCCCTGTAGATGCATTGAGATGAGTGAACTGACCATATGCATGCTCCAAATCTGTTATAATGTGAAAAAGAACAGGTAGCTTTTGTCACACTTGGTCTGTTTCTGGCTCCAGTAAATGAAAATAAATCTGTCCTGTCACCTTAGCAGGCATGATTTTCCCTCTCTCTCATGGGCACTAAGAGGTTTTGACAAGAAAACTACCTTATATTTGAGGAAAAGGAGAGGAAGCACATAAACATAATGCAATGTCTCAAAAGTTCAGTTGACTGTGCAATCCCAAATTAACCAGGGAACAGCAAAGCCCTTCACTCCCGGCCAACCCAAAATCCTCCCCAAGGCCCTGTGAGACACAGGGGAACCAGAAGGGTGCCCACCTTGAGCTAGCCTCCACCCTGGTTACATCAGCCCCGCTCTCCCATCAAGGCTCGCAGTAACGTCAATTTTTCAAGTACCTGAATCTAACCATGTTTCCCTTCAAAGTCAGCTTGATGATGTTTCTGCCTCTGACCTTCCCCAGTCAGGGCTAGTTGGTCCCAAGAAGGACTTACTCACAGTGCCAGTGAACATCCCTTCCTAGGCCATGCTGGGCAGGTTTCCCTCACTAAGGCACCCCACAAGCTCAGGGTGATCCGTGTAAGGCACATCCCCTCCTGTGTGATTCCTGCACAACTGAAGCTGCACAAAAGAGGAAGTCAAACAGGTATATTAAAAGCCATGCAGACTCTGAGGAAAGTGCTGGAAATTGTTTTAAAGGACTACAGCAGCTCTCTGATAACTACTGGATCACTTCAGCTGCTTGTCACAACAAATACAGCCAATTCCAAAGCACAGAAACCACACAAAAGCAAAACAAGCATTGGGTAAGGAAGGTTGTGCTTTATGTAAACGAAGTAAATGAAGGTCAGGAAAGTAGAGCCCCCCACTTTTTTTTTTCACATAGAAGCATAGAAAATAATCTCCAAATCCAATGGTCACAGGGTTTTTAGTCAGACAAGCTAATCTTGTCTTGGTCAGGAGGATGAAATTCCCCAAAATCATTTTGTCATGTTTAGTTTCAGTTTTACTACCTCTTTTTTCTGCCCTTTAGGTAGTTCCAGAAATCATGCGGGGTGCTGAGAAGAGACTTTCAGTGCTCTGTATCGCTCCATCTCAGCATAAATTTCAGAGACAAAATGTGCAGGAACAGAAAATTCTTCTTTTTTAACTTGAGGAAGGGTTAAGCCCTTTTCTCCTATCTACAAAAATGGGAACAACTTTGAGATATCTGCTCTAATCCTTTCTGCTGAGGAATAGCATTGTCTACATCAAGTCACTGTATGGCCTCATACCAAAAGGGCTTTCTTTTTAAGGAAAAAGAAAATTCCACATTCCTGTTTTTATTCATACTTTCTGCCAAAACTATTTGCAGGCTCTTTTTGTGGGTTAAGAGGAAGAGCTCTTTCATCTACATGCAGTTACTTTGACTTAATTTCCTTCAATTCATTCTATCAGCTGCTGTAATTATTTCTCTTCACAGAAACCCTTCACTGCCTGTTATCAAATTCCCGGCACTGCGTGGCTGAGTACCCGCAGCAATACTTACCACCACTAAGTCAGCATCAGAGCTGAGCGTGTCTTCTTCTGAAGGACAGATTAGTAAATGAGCTCTGTTTACTTCTGACGCTTTCCTTCCCCAGGGTGATAGCAAGAGTGCATCTGCCTGGAGAAAAAAGGAAACACCGGTCACACATGTATGGCTTATTTTGAAAGAAATAGTCAGGAAGAAAGACGGCCAGTACAGAGAGGAAGAAACAGGAGCTCAGGCTGCTCATTTCTGGCCGCAAAATGAGTTGTGCTGCTGCAATTATCCAGTGTGCTTTCTGTGTATTTTCAAATTAACAAGGCAATGTGTTGTGGCAATGAACTGAACAGCAAAGGTAAGAAGAGTCTTTCCAGCGAACATTTGGGTAATGCAGGGCAGTCTGTAGTCGGCCTCGTCCACCTATATGGCAGCTGACCAGACTACTGCAGGGCTGGAGCACTGCTACCGTAGTCAGAAACAGAAACCCAGTCCTTCTCTAGAAAGAAAAACTTTTCCTTTTCACATGATTTCTGGATCTCCCATCCTTCCATGCATCCAAACATGTACATTCCTTTTGGCTAGTGATATTTCCCAGTCACAAACCCACTCTGACCTTTTCTTCTCTAGCTCCTTTATACCTCCACTTCACATCCCAAATTCATTACATACTGCTTACCTCCTTTGGGCAAGTGGTGACTCTGTTTCTGCTTTGAATGTGCTGCTTCTGAGACAGTACACCTACTGAACAGGGTTTGACCGCTTTGATGCAACACCCTCTCCAGAAGTGATACCTTTCCTCAATGCCCACTCTGTGCTAGCTCAGGAATCACTGGCCGCAGGTCAGCTGGCCCTGTACGTGTGTCCTCAGCTGCACCTCCTGATTTTATACATACATGAAGGGTACGGGGGCTACAGGAAAACTATTCTGCACTACCTAATCTCTTTAGAAGAAGATGAGTTCTAACTGGTTTTAAACATAAAGAAAAGCAAAAAACTCATTAAGAAATTAACTTAGGTTTTACAAGATGTGTAGATGTGGCACTTAAGGACATGATTTAGTGGTGGCTTTGGCAGTGCTAGGATAACAGCTGGACTCAATCCTAAAGGTCTTTTCCATTATAAAAGATTCTATGATTTGTACAAAGAAATCAGATGACAATGGCTTTCCCTCTGCTTTCTTATCTCTTCATAATTTTTCTTCACCCTTTTTTCTTTGTCTCTCTCATTCTTACCTCTTTCTCTTTTTCTGATCTTTTCAGCTCTTTTGTGTTTCCCTTATCTTTGAGTTCCCTGATGCTGCACATCACCAACCCCTCCCTCCAGCCTGGTTCCACTCGGTGCCTCAGGCTGAAAGAAGCCCAGAACTGAGGCAGCAGAGTTCAGTTCAGAGCAAGGTTGTCACAGACAGGACATGCCCTACATTGCTTAGCACGTGAATATAATTGTCTTCTTGATGGTTCTTCCTAAACATAAAGCTCTCAGATCATACTGGGGGGTGCTGTCTGAAAGGCTACAGCCCGGTGCTGAAGGGACAAAACCAGTTTTCGTTTGTTGATGCAGACAGAAATTAGCTTGCACAGACAGACAAAAAATTTGGCTGACTTCTGTATAAGCAAGTTTCATGCCCTGACTCCACAGAAACCCTCTGCATTGCAAACACTGTGTTTCTCAGATGGATTTTGCAGGCTATTCAGTACCACCAGTGTTCATTGCTCTCTGCTCCAGCTCCTTGCTTCACTCCCAGGGATGTGCAGAAAAGTGGATGTCCACCAGCCCCTCCAGGTCCTCTTCCACCAGGCAGCTTTCTGGCCACTCTTCCCCAAGCCTGGAGCATTGCATGAGTTTGTTGCGGACCAAGTGCAGGACCCAGCACTTTGCCTTATTGAACCTCGCACCACTGGCCGTGGCCCTTCAATCCAGTCTGTCCAGATGCCTCTGCAGAGCCTTCCAAACCTCCAGCACAACAACTGATCTTGTGCTGATCATTGATGAAGATATCAAACAGAGCTGGCCCCAGTACTGAGCCCTGGGAAACACAACTTGTGACCATCTGCCAATTGGATTTACCTCCATTCACCACCACTCTTTGGGCTCAGTCATTCAGTCAGCTTTTTACCCAGCAAAGAGTACGCCTGTCCAAGCCATGAGCTGCCAGTTTCTCCAGAAGAATGCTGTGGGAAATGGTGTCAAAGACTCTATTAAAGTCTAGGCAGATGACACCCACAGCCTTTCCCTCCCTGCTGGCCCAGGCTGAGTGCTTTCCTTACCCACAACTCCTGACTGTAGGCAGGCCTTACAGGTTTTTGGGAAGCGGGCTTTCACCTTTGCAAGCAGAGGTGTGTGGAAGCATGTGGTCCGTATCAGCAGCACCTTCCTCATCACAAAAAGCTATGCAAAAGTAAAAGTAATGCATTTTTTATGTACTTCTTATAAGCACTAATGCCTCTGGGCTATAGACTCTTCCCCCCCCCCCCTTCATGTTCTCTTTTACACTAGTGGCATTTTATCAGGTTGATAATTCATCTATGTAAGAATCCCTTGATATAAGCATTAGTTTTGTCAAATCCCTTATCCACTGTGTGAAAACAGACGGGCATTTTGTTGAAACAATAAATCCATTATGTCAACACAATTAATTCTGTTCACTGACTAAAACGTTCAGTTGAGGAACAAAAGGCATTAACCTAATATCTTTATCTCGTGCAAAGTCTTTGATGTCATTGTGGTTTGTGCCAAGGAAAATCCTTCTTTTTGACATATCATCTTATCACCATTTTGTGGGAGTCAGGACACATGGACCTTACCAGGGCTCTACTGAATGACACAGAAAGTTATTGCATCTGCTTGTGCTTGTGTTTCCCTCTGTCTGTCTGGGCTGGGGCATTGGCAGAGAACCTTTTCTAATTATGTGCTTGTAGGATGATGGTCTGTTCACTGTGTGTTTATATTTGTAAGACAAAAGGAAAGCAACATGTTCCCTCTCTGCACTTGCAGCACCAACAATAAGCTCTTGATTTCTCTTGGCACTTCTTAATGCTATTATAGACCAAATCACTTTCAAAGTCATTGGTGAACACAAGGGGTTTGGGGGCTCCAGTTTCTAAATGAGATCAGCTATCCATGCATGTCTCCATGTGTCTTAAGGAAAGTTGCTCTCTTCTCACATGTACATTTTTTCCTACAGCCATTGAAAATCAGAGGTTCAAATTTCACATTATTTCTTCAGGGAATTATTTCATTACAAAGACATCTCAGTTTTCACTGAAGCCCTTAACAGTGGGCTGCACAGCACAGAGAAAGGAAGTTTTATACTGGGGTAATGTTGTTTCCCTCCCCCTTTCTTCTCGGAAAAGGTGAATTACATTATGAGATGAGTTTTTAAATCAGTGAAGCAGTCCTGCCTCCCTGGAGGTAAGGCTATGGCGGCGGTTTCTCTCAGCATCTTCTGGCACTGGGATGGCTCCTCTGCAGAGAGCCTGGGACTGGAAAGTATCAGAGCAGACGATGCAGAAAAACCAGCCTGATGTAGAGGATGGCCTCCATGAGCTTGAATGGGGCTGAGATGCACATATAGAGCAGGACCACTGGTGAGGCCACTGCAGCAATTCCTTTACCACCCATGGATGCATGTACCAGGACGGCAGCCCATGCCATAGTAGCAACCCACATGCAGAAGTTCAAATTTATTTTGCAATAGGTACAGGGTTTGTGCAGGACATCCAGCACCCCATTTGGACATGCCACATAATGTCAGGTGCTCCTCAGGTTCATCCTCTGAGGAAGATCCTCCTTTAAAGATGCCCTTTTTATTTTGTGCTAACAATACCGTACACAAGCATGCAGATCTGCACTGCCTTTTTGCTGAATGGAAAGGTTGTTATGGAAAGGATTCTGGCTGAGGTTTATCAAATCTGAGATATATATAATTCAAAACTAAATCTCTGGTCTGCCAGAGAAAACCTCTGTGTGTCACATATTTCCTCTTCTTCAGGGTCCATCTGGAAATGGCCATCGTGGCACTTCTTTTCCTCACAGTGAGAATAAAGATCTCTTGATGGAAAAGAGGGTTGTGAGGTGCTACTGTGTGCAGTAACCTGAGTTAGAGCTAAGCACAAACATACTTCCAGAAGATGGAGATTTCACAGTGGTCACTCGGCTGTCCACTCTGGCTTCCTTACATAACCTGAAAGCAGCAGAATAACATCAGCCTTTGAAGTACTGCGGGTCCTACACACAAGACTTCACAGGTCAGGGCCCAGGGCTGCGTGAGAGTCATCTTAGAGAGTCATTCAAGCTACACCTGCCCTATCTGTGGGACTAACATTTGACAGCAGATTTAAGAGGTTCATTTTAAGAGAAAAAAGAAAAATAGAAAGAATTAAAAAGATGCTTACAATAAACATTCAGAGCAAATCCTCAAATTACACTTCATCATATCCAAACCTCCTTCAGACTGCATGCCTACATTTCTTTTTCAAATTCCCAGCAGTTAGGTTTTTCTCCTTACACTATCTAAAAAGCAACAGTGTAGCTCCACACAATGCAGGTAGAATGATTGTCAATTGTGTGGTTATCAATAGATTCCTGATTAGCAATTTTTCTTCCATTTATGCTTGCAGTGATTAAGAAATACCCAGCTCCTTCATTCTTTAAGAAACCTTCTTTTTTCCTATTCTGCTGGAAAATAATCTGTCTTGGTTGATCTGTGATTTGGCCCTCTGTTGTGGTCAGGCATTGCTTCAGAGTAGCTTGTGAGTCACAGCTGTGAGCTGAATTTCTAATGTACTCATGCATATGCTTACCTTTAAGCTGGCAAGTGATCCTTGCAAGATCAATAACACTGTGTTTAAGTACGTGCTTAGGGGCTTTGCTGGACTGAGACAGAAGCGTTCAGAATGTACAAAGCTGAATTCCTGGTGGCTAAGTGCTGTAATCTTTAGATTTGTTATAGTTTTAATTTAACAGCTTTCTCACTTATCAGGTGGCTGCTGTCCCCTAAGCGTATTGGCCATGAGGTTCTTTTGAGTGATCATTTCAACATTCCCACAGGCCTCACCTGCTGTATCAGCTAAGGCAGTCCTCTCTCTGAACTTCAGAGGTAGCACAGAAGCTATCAGCAGGATCAAATGATGTGATAGCTATTTTGCTAATTCGGTTAATGAGATGCTTTTTCAGTGTGAGACAGATGCTGCCTATGCACATAGGCACAGAGAGAAACTTAGATCTCTGGAAATAGAATTACTGCCTTCAGGAAACGCTCTGCTCAATGTGCTTGTAAATGCTTGTGGGAAGCCATCCTGGTTTACCTAGCTGAACTGTGGTAATAATAAATAAACCCTGGCGACATCACCTAACTGAAGCAGCAGGCATGGTGCCCCATTGTCAAAAAGAGGCTTCAGCCATTCCCCTGTGAGCAAAGCCTGGAGGATCCACCACTGAGGCCCAGGGATGCAGCAGAGTCAAGAGAGGGCATGGTCTAGCCTCAGGGGCATGGCACCCTTCCCATCCCTCCTCCTCCATAATGCAGAGGGCTCATGACAAACCTGAAGGTCTATTTGGATTTCTATTGCCCAAGAAGCACTTCAGAGCACTGCGTGACTGCGTTTCCTGAGCCTCTGTTAGTGCCTGCATCCACACCAAGTCCTGCAGGTCTCAGCAGCTGCATGCTCGAGTCATTGGTTCAGACCCTCATGTCCCCATTCGAGGCCAGAGTGCATGGTGTGTGTGTTTCTGGAGCAGATAATCCCCTTCCACTTAATCCAAAAGGGTGCCAGGTCACTGGTACCAGCATCTCCCTGAGATAACCGAGGCTGGGTCAGTTGGGGTGATCGGGATGTTGGCGTGGAAAGCATGCCCCAGAGCCAGCTAAAACACTAATGCAAACATGCACTGAGTGCGCTACTTCACATCTGTTTCTGACCGACCTAGTACAGCAGCTTTCAAGTGAAACAGGATTTTTATAGTGACTAAAAGCATTGATTAACCAGTCCTCAAAAGAGATTTTGTTGTGGAGTCCATTAGGGCTATGTAGGGTCTTTTCTTACATGTTTTGATATTAAATCAAAGTCCAGAGTTAAAATGGAAAGGAAAAGAAAGGAAAAGGGTTTTTTTACAGGTTGTTCATGTTTATCATTTGAAGGCAAGCTTTTCAGAGATGAATGCCTGACATTTGACTATGAAATCTATTGTCACACACCCCAGCCAGCAGTCACCAATAGTTTTCTTGAAACTTTCATAAATGAAAACTGAAAGACTCGTCATCCTAACTTAATACTAGTGCAATGTCACAGCACAGCTAAAACAGCCAGATGAAAACCACTAATGTAAGACGACGAGCCACATGGAAGCGAGGTATGATGTGCTGAAAGCTGCAGGGCTTTGTGCTCAACATTCAATAGTTCCAACATCATCACCATTGTGATAAAAAGACTTTTCCTCCTTTGTTCCTGTTGCATTAGCAACCCACAGAGCCATGGTGCCACCAGAAGAACTGATGTGGAACCACCTCCCTTAGCAGGAGAGAGAGATATTCAAAGGGTGCAGAGCTTACTGTCAAGTAGGTACATCCATGCCTCTTTAATAAGCTTACAGGAAACAAACACAATCCAGGTCCCACTTTATCTGAAGGCATAACAAAACTTCCTCAGAATTTCAGAGCGTATCATGTCACCATGGACTGAGCCACATTGATTCAGTAACACAAACTGAGCCATAGCTAGCTCCTGCATGTCCACTGATGTTTCTCTGCAAGAAGGTGAAGTTAAAACTAGGATCAGGAAAGACAAATTTGTGTTATGAGAAATGAGTAATTTCCATAAGTACCAAACAAAAGAAAAGACTGGAAATCCCTACCACACTGAAGAAAAGGTGCGTTTGTTGGAAATAGTCTCACAGAAATTATAACGCATCTCTTCTTGTGTTTTGTCTTTAGAGGAAAAAAGTAAAGCCTGTTTTCTCTCTTCATTGAAGAGACTTGCACATTCCCGTCTCCAAAACAGCCCTAGGCAGGTGAACACCATCTCACTTGAAGGGGATAAATCTATGCTCTCTGTGAAGAAGTTACAGTGGAAGAACTTTCCCCAGCCATGAGTAGGCCTGAGCAAATTGAGCTACCAGTGTCATTTGATTTTGATTTACTTCTTTTTAAATCGGTTGTGTCAGGGTTATACTGAGCCTGCTGACTTTTAATAGTGTTTTCCAGCTCCTGCCATGATGGTGTGACAGCAGTTTTCAGAGTCCAATAGGCTAAAATGTCCCAGTTGATGGTGTCACCATTGCACCAGATGGGAATAGCATCAACTGAGAGAGTGTGAACATACCCAGGGCAGCAGCTTGAACTTTGCTTCAGGAGCCCCAGCTGAAAGCAACTAATGTAAAACCTCCTCATCACCTTAATCACCATTGCTGATCCTGGAAGGCCTCTTCCACTGTCACCAAAGCAACAGAGAGCTGCCAACAAAAACGGTTGTATGGGTTTTCTTCACCTAGCGCCTAAACTCAAGAGGTGTTTAAACATGCTCAGGATTGTTTTGCCAGCATTTCTGTCTTGTCCTTACACTGTGCTGTATTAACAGTCCCTTCAGGCTCAAATTCAGTTGAATTTAACTTTATTAGCAAAGCAACATCATCCCTTCACATGTCTAACACCCGTACTTTTCAGAAACACATACTGCATACAATGTCTTAAGGATGTTCTATTAAGAGCCTGCAAGTGAGGC